TCTAAAAGATCATAGGGGAAGATCAACAGAACTCCTTTCAATGTTGAGGAACAAGGTGGCAAAATTGTAATTTAGTTCCCTTGTGGAAAATAATAAATCTCTTGAGAGTCATATTTAACCAGAACAGATTCTCTTAATCGTCATATAAAACAAATAAAATTGCAATCAATTGAAATTAAAATTTTCTGTGAATCAGAATTGAAGGCATCTATATCAGTGAGTCTCAGCCAGAGCATAATTTTGTTAAATACATATACTAGTTTCATCTACAAAGTGCTATCTACTCCAAACTAAGGGTTTACATAGAAAAATGTATTGTCGGTGGAGTAGTTTTAATTCACAAGAAAACAAAATTCTTTTCCCAGTAAGAAAAAAAAATAGCTCAGGTTATTGAAATTTAGTTGAAGAAATCTGGGTGGCTGGCTGAAAATTATCTGATGTCTGATGCCCCAGGATGATGGACACCTTATCAGTGTGAATTAGATGTTGCACAAGCTAAGAGATCATTGTGTGTTAAGTGCAGTATACCAAATAAAACAAAATTTATTTTCTTAGGTCCTGTTAAGGAAACACTTTTTAGTCTTGCATCCAATTCAACATCTAATTTTGTAGTGCAACTGTAAAACAGAAACCAATGCATGGCAGTACAAGTATTTGAAATGATACAATATTTATTAAAGTTTTAAAACAATAGCCTCTGGTTGGTAATTAAAGAAACATTAGAAAATAAAAGAACTAGATAGTGTTCTATGAGCAAAGCTCAAAGATGATATTTTTTAATAGATTATTTACGGCAATATATTCCAGGACCTTGTTTATTTTCCAGGAGTGGGGTGGTCTCTCTTTGGGTGTGTTAAATGTACTTGATCTCTGGTTTTCATGGATAATTGATAAAGTGTTGTACAGGTGGGAAAAAAAAAGAGAAAAAAAAGAGAAAAGAAAGAGGTTTAGAACTTGCTTTACTAGTCAGACACCAAATTGGAACTTTTTCCTTTCTGACCAACCATCTATGAAAGCAACATCTCATAACTTATACTGGAGCCTTTGGAAATGTGTACAGCTAGGGGGGAGGATTACTGTAATAATCAGATGTATAAAGATGTATAAAGTTAATGAGGTTAAAATTTGTTTTTGGTAGAAAGGACTTCAAACATTACTCCCAGCTAAGTTGCACCCATTCAGCCTTTAAGAAGAGACTTTGAAGAATATCCGAAAAGTAATGTGAAGCTGCTTTTGTGATGGACCGTCCATCACACGTAGTGATTGGCATTTTGAAATTCACATTTCCACAGCTGTTGGCTGTCATGCAGCTTTTCTGCTGTTGTCCTATGCTTTGGGATTTCCATTCCACTATCCTTGTGGATGTTGTAAGGGAGAAGTCTTGCACAGGTTGCTGCTTTCCCCTAGGTGCAGAAATGGGGATTTTGATTGATAAACTTACTTTGTTCCAGAGCAAGTGGAGTCTGCTATTGTGGGGTGTGCTCTGAAATGGCAGAGGCTTGAATTTTAGCCAGTAGAATCAGTGTTCTCCTTTTCAGGCAGTAACCGGTAACATTTACCGCCTGTAGTACCTCTTATTACCATTTAAAATTGCTTGGAATTCTTGAAAATTCAACAGGTAAAAGGATCACTTTACCAGTTTGAAAATTCATTTTACCTGTCATGCTTAAAATAAGGGAGAACACTGGTAGGATATTCTTGTCATGCTCTTTTTTGTGTGAATAGGTTTATATAAGAGAATTGTTGTGGGGCATTTCAGCCAAACTTAGGAAAATTTGAGATGAATAAGGGCTTCGTTAGCTAACCAGCTGACCACAATTCGGTGTTTGGGTACCCAATTAAAAAAGAAAGAAAATTTTTATTTCGGTGTATATCTCTACATCATAAATGAAAGTATAGACTAATTCCTGAGCTTTAATACAATTTTTATTTCTCTCCCACAATAATGATTACACATGTCAATCGATGTCTCACTTTACCAACTCATTTATTATACAACAAGTTTGGCCACTAAATAACTTTTTAAATAAATACCATTTAGTTTTACAATATATATCCCTTTTAACTTCACTTCTAATGAATGGGACTGTATCCCCTCTAATTGAACCTTGTGAATGTGTTACACTTCCTTGAATTAATAAATAAAATAGTGAAAATATGTTTCCATTGACTTTTACGGGTATGAAAATATCATAGTGGTGTCCCTATATCAAAAATTTAAAGCAATTAAGTATTTCCAATATCCATCATTTCAGGATTTTAAAAGCCCCTTTCCAGTTGGAAAGCAACTTTTCTCACACAACCTTTCTTGACAAACAGTACCTTAGAAAAAGTGCTGTCCCTGACAGGCACAAAAATCAAACATTTCTGATCAGTTAGAGCACTAACTGGGCTCTATTACAAAGAATTTACTTTAATTATCTTTCTTGGACATGAACTTTCAATTCTTTGACCAATGTCATCTATATAGCATACAGTAAACATTTTATCTCAGAATTTTAAAACTATTTTCCAGCTGAGTTTATCTACTGTAATAAACTTGATTCTCTGACAGACCACCAACATATTGAAAAATATAGCAAATATTCCAGCAAATTTGACTAGAAAAGTTGTCAAATATTGAAGTATGAAAATAGCCTTTCATGTACAAAGATAGAACACATTTAGCTACTTTAAGTTTGAAAATTCCACATTGAAGACTGTTCAAACCTAACATTTAATTATCCGCAATTTAACATATTGGACAAATGTGGTTTGAAACAAGGTAAAAATAAACTTTTGAACCTCATGTGCTTCCCCAATGGTTTATGAAACCTATTTACCTGCTTTATTATTTAATGAATGTTCTTGAGCCTTAAAAAATGTTATATGTCTCAATAAGGACAATTGTCTGATACAGAACCTTGGAATCCTGAGTATCTGCTTGAAATCATATACATTGTTCAAATGGGTACTCTGGAAACCAAAGGTCTGTGATTTAAATAAAGTTTAACTTGGACCACAATCACTGTAAGTAGTTTGTGTAAGTTGAGTAAATATTTTCCTTGTTGCAATGTTGTACAATTTGCAACATTTAAATAAAATATTTGGTCACATTGAAAATAGTTTAGATTGCGATTTTGCTAAACCAGTTGCTAAACTAAACAGTTAAAGTATCTTTCAAGAGAATTCCTTGTACATTCTTGTAAAAATTGAAAAAAATCAATTTTTAGTTTTGTCAGAGTATAGAATACTTTTAGCCATGGTCAACCACAACCATTGTCAGAATTCTTTTTTAAATATTTAACTCAGTTAGTCAAGGAAAGTTAATATTTGTCAGGGAATTCCAAAATCCTATGAGTGTAGCAACCCATGAATATGCTGCATTAGCTTGAAAAATGAAAAAAAACTGGTGATTAAGAGGCAAACAAAGTCTGAGTCTTTCAACTATTAAAGAAGAATCTATCAACTCTTGTCTGTATAGTTACTATCTGTTGTTATATGATCAAGCTCCTGTACCTATTCAGGCTGAGGCTTTTTGACAATCACTCTTCTGTGAGTTTTGCAAAACTCATTGATTCTCTTGCACGCCAACTGAGTCAATTCCTCCGGTACAGTCAGAACAATGCGGAAGTAGTTTGGATACTGAAAGCACTGAAATGAAGAATCAGTTGTTAAATAAGTTGATTCATTAAGCACAGAATAATGCTGTGTGGGTTAATTGCTGTTTAAATGGTAATATGGTTATAAGGTAAATCACTGCTATTTAAACTTAGCCAAATAATTTAGATAATTACCAGTAATGTCAAGCTACAATTGCATGGAATTTGAGATAAACTGGTAACTTAGAATGGCTTGAACTTTGTTGAAATTGACTTTGTCTTTACACTCCAATTAAATGGGATCCAATTCTTTTTTTTTTAATTTAGATGGCATTTACTTTATTTCCTTCCTTCTAATACTCATAGTGGCCACATAAGCGGCTCACAGTTAATACTAAAAAGGAAAAACACCTATGTTACAATAATTTACCTTTCCTGGTAGACAAAACACTGATTGTTCTGAGATCAGTTTTTCAGTGAAGTCTAAGTCATCCACAATGCCATCTAACTTGGATATGTCAATTCCGACCTTAAAGAAAAAAAGAGATCTTTTAACTTCACATACACATGTAGAATGTGTATTAAAAAGACAAGTCAAAAGTAGGTTTGTATTACACTAGTGTGTACCAGTCTGGGCTTTTCATCAAATCCTTGCTCAGAAAAAAATTTATTCTTCTGGCACAATGAATAGGCCAGTTTTACCTGTTCCTGTACTGCACTCATTTTGTTTATTTATAAAGTAAACGTGACTTGTTACAAGATTGTGGAATTCACTTTGTGATAACAATGATTCTGAAATAGCAAACCTCTCTATATGAATGCAAATTATTCAATTTCCAGCCACTGAAGTCTTTAGGTTCGCGACCTAGTACTGGTTAACTCAATGTAACATTTATTAGAAAGACATGTTGCACAGTGGGCTCACAGAAAAATATAAAAATGTTGTATCTCAGGGTCCAATTAAAGAGTACTTGTTGTTTGATCTCAAGGTACATTGTGGCAGTGTATATCAGAAAAAAAATTAACAAATTTCAAGGCTTTTTAATGTTTTAGAGTTCGACTGTTAGATTTTAGGGCATATGTGATTTTTCTGATGCTTAATTTCCACTTCCCTGGAAAGTACTAACCATCATATACATTGCTCCACATGGCATTTTGGGTTCCAGTTCTGGAATTCTTAGCAGTGCCTCATAAAGTATTTCAGCGTTTTTCTGTCAAAAAAAAGACAAAGTGAACATTGCTTCTTTCAGTTACTTTGTAATACATATAGTCTCTAGTCTATTGGTTGTATTGAACTGAAAGAAGAGTAATGAGAGATCAGCCACCAATCAAGGTAAACAAAATAAAAGAGCCAATGAGAACTTAAAGTATAACCAAGCAAAACACCTTGGGCCAGGAAAAATTAGTGTGCACAGAGCTAGTCTCCATAAGTCTTACTGGTAGTTTTGCATTTTGCAAGAGGAATGAATTATGAAACCAAACATAATTTCTATTAAAAATGGCCCTTCAAAGAGTTACTAATGAGGATCATTAGGCTACAACATTTCTCCTCACCTGAATTGTCCTCATTGTGTTGTCAAAAAAGCTTTGTGGTGTATTGGTCAGTATTTCTGGAAGAGCTCCTTGAATGAGAGTGTTTGGGCCTAAGATTTGCTGGGAAAGTGCTATAAGTCCTGTTCTGACCTGTTTGTTACACAAATATTATATTAATAAATAGATAATTATCTTTTGTAGGGCAACAGAGCAACAAGCAAGGATATACACATGTAAAAAAAATGAGGTTTCAAGACACTGTTCTTTAACACCATCCAGATCAATATGAATAATTCACATTTTTAGTGTCTAAAGGCTATTTATTTACACTGCATGTAGATGATGATGGGTTACGGTAGCTTACCTCACTTTCAAATGCTTCATTTTTGTCATAGATTATGACCCATCCCAATCTCCAGCCAGGCACAAGAAACCTAGCAGTAAGCATGGCCAGATAAACATAATGTGGAATTACCATTATTGTATTCAAATTGGGAAGGAAAGCTTATGAGGTGTCTCAACCAAAAATTAATAATAATAAACTAGGATAGAAGAAAGAACATTTTTAGAAACAAGTGAAAAAAAGGCTGAAAAAAAATCAACAAAGAATTCATCACATTTCCATTTGCATTAGTTGAAATTACAGAGAAGTGTTCATGTCTGAGGCAAATCCATATTTCCTTACCTTTTTGAAATTGCACCACAAGTCAAAATGGGAACATTGTCTGATAACTGTGCAAGTGGGTAAAACTTGTATCCAGGAAAAACCTGGAGATAACAGGGATAGAAATGAAAAATTTGAATTAAATGAAGAATGATGTCAACTGACTTACAATCAGTGACTAAATTTTTATTTTGTTTTTCTACTGCCAAGGATTAATTATCATTACTGCCAGTTAATTAATTCCAAAATGAACACGCACTAAGTGGGAAAAATTACACATGATTCCTGGTTTCTTTTCCTCTTTTGTTTTTCTTTGATTTGTTTTTGTTTATTTTTTTTCTTTTAGTGTTTGTAGAGCACTTACAGCATATTCGTACACTTCATCTGCAATAATAGGAAGCATGTATCTTTCAGCAACTGAAAAGTATAATTACAATGATGTTTAGTGAAAAAACTTTGATTGATAAATGTCATCAAGTTCTAAAATTTGACTCTGTGCCATGCACTACTAACATTAGTTTCTTTGAGAATTTATTTTTGGTCAAATGAATTGAGATGACATATATATTTACCTTCGAGAATAGCTTCCAGATGTTCTTTTGAATAAACTGAACCACAAGGATTGGATGGATTGTTAACAAGTATTGCTCTGGTTCTGTCATCAATCAGTGACTCAAGGTGATTGAGGTCAATCTCCCAGGATCTCTCAGGCTAAACCAGACAAGTAATTTGCAAACATCTTAAGTTCATTTTCAACTATATACAAGTATTATTTGTTAATAGATATCAGTTGGAAAATAAAAGATATTTTGACTTTTCCATATTGTTTGTACTCCTGAAGAATCATAGGTAATGACTTGTGTAAGCAATAGCAGGAAATGACCCTGGGTTGCACTGGTTTAAAACACACTTAAGTTTTGCATAACTCCAATGAGAACCATACCAAAAGATTGTAATGTCTGACTTCATGACCTCGGGATATGCTCAGTGTCTGATAAATAGAAAACCCTGGTTTGGGCAGAAGAACATTATCTCCAGGGTTTAGTAGAACATCTAAAGCCAATTCCAAAGCCCCAGAGCAACCACATGCTAGAACAACATCCTAAAAAACACAAAATTATAATAATAATTACTGAATATGAAATATTCAAAGGTTGTCATTATCTTTTTACCAATGGGACAAGATATCAAAGCTCCCAAAAACTATTATTAAAGATGTCAGAGAACTGAGCATTCTCCTCCAAAATTAACACTCTTCCCAAATGTGTTTTAACTGGTTGATTAAGGCCATTTTACCTTGTAATTTATTGGAGAGAGAGGATAGGAATGCTCTGCAGCAATTGCCTCTCGAGCCTTGACATAACCTGCAATATCAAGGTCATTTATGCATGTTGGACATGAGTTATCATAGTTAAGAATTACTGTAAGTTCTGTACTAAGCAGAGCCCACTTAAGTTAACAATATTAACAGTTTACAGTTCAGTCTTTTTTTTTCCTGTTATTGTCTGAAGAAACCTGAAAAGACCTCTTTCATAATGGCAGGCATGACTAATATTCTTCTTTGTGCTTTCAAAGATACCCTCATGGCCCTAACTTTTGAATGAAAATTTTATTCGACTTTATTCAAACATTTTATTGTTTTTACACATTGTTGTGGTCAAAACTACTGTTTATGAAATATATTTTACAAGATAAATTTATCTGAGAGGGCTTTTAATCAACACCTTTCTGTTTTTCATCAGAATGTGATCTGGACATATTGGGTGTCATTTGTGTTTTGATGCTTTTTTTTAATCATTTTTTTAACTGTAAAGTAGAGCTTTTTAGCAAAGTGTTTGATGTAGATGCTTTATCTAAAAAAGTAATGGAAAAAAGAAACTAGAAAATCCCACACACCCTATTTTAGTTCAACATGTGCATATCACGTTCTGATAAAAACAAAAGATGTAGATAAAAAAAGCATCATAAAATGAACTTATCTTATTAAAAGTCTTAGCATGAAAGAATAAGCTCCCATTCTGTATACTAATTCAGTTTGAATGAAAATCCTAATTTTCATCCTGCGATACCTCAGAAAGATCTAAAAACAAAGTTATCTATTCTAGTAACCTGTTGAAGGAGCATATCCATTATGTTTTGATTGCTTTAGGCACTTCACAACAGCCTCCAACATCTCTTGACAAGGCTCTAAATTCCCAAACACTGATGGATCCCCTAGACAAAAAAAATTTAGGTAATTGAAAATAAGACCAAGCCAGGTTAAAAATAGAACCAATCTTTGCCATTTTCTTTCCTAACAGGAAATTAATATTAATATAATAATATTAGTTACCCTCCTACACCCATCATATGTATGTTGTAATATTTCTTTGTTGTGGAGATTTTCTCATTCCACCTTAGCTTGGTCTGCAAAGCCTGTGTCAGTTCCCTTCTAACACTTTTCTTCATCTCAGAGACAAAAGAAATCTATCATAGTAACTTACCTATTGATAGAGCAATCATTTTCTTTGTGGGATTTGGTGTTATTTTCATTCTGTCTACGATGGATCTAATAGGATTAAATGTTGTTTTTGCTGTAACTGAGGCAGGGATATGCCATCGTCTTCTCTTTGCAGTAGACATTCCTTGAAGGAGCAACAAACAAATTATACCTATACCTAAAATCATTACATAACCATCTCCTTACTCCTGACCTTCATTCTCTCTAATAGCAACACAATTTAATCTTTTCCTGGCAGAAAAAGGGTAGGTAAGAACTACAGATTATGCCAGTGGATCTTAGCTGGCTAAACAGGCAATGCGATCTTATATGTTTTCTGTGTCAAATAAATATCACTTTTTCTCTAAGTTACTTTTTCTTGGTACTAACACAAATATACATAACAATGTGTCTGCAGTGAAACAAACAAAGCTCTCATTCCTAGTTATTCTTAATAATACTGAATAATCCCAAAGGATTATTATATGATTGATCTTTTCCATAGTCATTATGTAAAGTTTCCGTTGGTTTGGTGTGGGAAATTTCCAATGGAATGTATGGTATTTGATCTTTAGTAAGACATTATGCGAGCCGCATAATGCGCATTAGTTTATTTTGCAGCGCATGACGCCATCAAAGCTCGTATACAAGGTTACATTTTGTCACCTAAGTTTTTACGAATTAAACTAGACAGCTCTTTTGTTAAAACTATCTGTAGAGTCCGATCTCACCAAAATACGATTCAATTTAGGTGAAAACAAATCAACAAACTTCGGCAAGGTCAGTTTTCGTCGAGATTGGATGATAACCCATGAATAAGGTCATTGTTGTACACGTGTTTATGTGGTACGAACGCTATGAAGTGAGAACGTTTTATGAAGAAGAAATGTTTAATCAACGAGCCTTGAGTCTCAAAATTCTTCTAAGGATTAAAGTTTTCTAACGATTACAGTTTTCTCCCACCTATATCTTACTGTACATAGTAACATTTTTTGCGCAATTTTCGAAAACTCGGCCGTTGCCGGGACATTGCAGTGAAATTGTACTTTACTACATGCGTGCAAGGTTCATTTTTCTCTGCAATTCATTCAAAATAAGTGAAGAACACGTAGCACATATCAACGCATAACTTTAACTACACAGCTGTTTATGCGTATGGTTAAAACTTCTGTGTTTGATGAGGTTCAGGCAGAATACTATATTTTTTGTCTGCTTCTTTTAGCTCGTGTGTGTGTGTGTGTCTTTTACTGTCAAATAGAGATTTTTTGTCGATAACGCGTCAATACGGCTCGCAGGTTCCGACCAAAAGTCAGCCAACCGCTACCGCAGTCGGCCGTCGTCACTTTACGCTCATTTTCTTTAAAGATCAAACTAAAATTGTAATCAGTCCCAAAAAAATAGCTTACAAGAACAAAGTTAAAACGTTTAAACTACGTTCGACAGACAGAGAAAAATAAAAAGACGCACCTTGCACTATGAGCCAAGCATGAAGTCAACATTAAACACAAGCATTCGCTTCGAACATCATCCCGCGACCGTCGAGACTCAAAAGCACTAAAACTCAATCCATTTGATATCTCACATACCATGTGAATGAATGGAAATAATCATACTCGTTCTAGTAAATATAATTCTGTTATCGTTTGGTAGGTGTGAGAAAAACGATAAGCTTTATCGGCAAAACCTCAGAGAAATCAGATAACGCTCGTAGAGGAAGACTCGTGAATTCTTTTATGACCAACTAAGGTGCTTGTGAACAAAAAAACAGAGGACATTGTGTGAAGAATCTGTAAAGAAGACAACTGAGAGAAATTTGTGGCGTACAATGACGTAAGTTCACGAACAATAACTTCGAAATCAGGTGCAAATGCAGCCTTCGTAGAGTTTCCTTCACAATTCGGCGCGACGACGTCGTTTTCGAATCTTCCAGTAAACTTCATAGAAACTGGTACTACACCCACAAAATCGACATTTCATGTGTTTCTTATTGAAATACTTACCTTTTTGTCGTGTGCTGAGTGTTTTTTTTATGCCGATTTTTTTCGGAAAAAGAGTTAAATGAAAGAGTGATTGTAGCCTCCAGCACAATTTCTTCGCTTGGACATGTAAATTTAATATCATTACATAACCATATTTGACGTGATTGGTCAGTCATACTGTCACACCCCCAGCACACCCCTCGCCCCCACACCGCCTTTTCACTGCCATGATCAGTTAACCAAATCAAAGCACTTCTATTCACTTCGATTCTATTGGGCTTCCGACCCACTTCTGAATATTTTAATGCGAATGTTTTGATCTTTTGCTTGCTACTCAGTGATGTCTTTTAGACTAATCAGTTCAAATCTTTGCCAACTTTTTCATATTTCGAAAGTGTGGAAAAAAATATAAACGACTGAACGAAATAAAAAAAACAAAACATTTGATTTTGAAAGATACGTTTCGCCTGTTTTTCTGTCATCTTCAGATTATTCGGCTAAATGTCACATTTTGCCATATTTTTGATATTTCGAAATTGTGGACAAAAATAAAAACACGACTCAACGAAAAAAAAACACAACATATTTGATTTTGGAGATACGTGACGACTGTTTTCCTGTCATCTGCAGTATGAGCAAAATTCAAAGTCGTATTCTTATGTTAAACGGAAAGATGATATTGGCTAGACCACAAACGGAAACGTTAAAGTGGATGAACACAATGGAGTTTTGAATTTTAAAATCTCGACAAATTCTTCAATCGTGGGCTCACTAAACTATATTCTGAGTATCCTGAGTACTGATCATCATGCAGCACACCGAGGTACGAATCTTTCATCATCTACGTTTGAGAGTATAAACGGAGGTCTTCATGGGTCTGGAGGTGCCAGATTATCTTCAGATTAAACATCTGCTCGGTAGTGCTCCTCCCTGCTCTGAAACCTGCTTGTTGATCAGCGATGATGGTCTCTGCGACTGGTTTCAGTCTGTTTATAACCATCTTTAGCATCGCTTTGTTTGGGTGAATGATCAAGCTGATGGCGCGGTAGTTTTTGCACAACTGAAGATTTTCTTTCGTTGGCAGCGTGATGATCATCGACTGGGTCCAAGATGTTGGCCATATTCCGGTACGCCAGATGTTGTTGCAGATTGCGGTTAGGGTGGTGATCATTGTCTCTCCTTCTGCTTGCACCATTTCAGCAGGTATGTTGTCGATCCCTGCTGATTTTTCTTGTTTCAGCGCCTTGACTGCCACCTCAACTTCCTCGCGTTGGATGGATTGCGGGTCCTCACCTGGTGTTGCTTGCTGACAATGCAGTACTGCTGGATCTCCGTCAAGCTGATGGTTGTAGAGCTCGGAGCAGTATTCAGTCCACCCTTCCAGCATTTCCTTTTCTTCAGTGAGGCATTTCCCTGCTTTGTCCTGAATGCTTGTTGGTCGTCCCTGTTTTCCTATGGTGAGGCCTTAGACCATTTGGTATGCCTTCTTTGTGTTGTTCTACAGAAGGTTTCTTCTATTTTGGTGCATTGGTGTTCTATCCAATCTCCTTTTTCCTTCTTCGACTCTCTTCTGACTCTGTTCTTTGCTTCTCTGTACCTCTTGGCTCCCTCTGGGTCACCTTTCCCTTTCTTCAATTCTCGCCTTTTGTCACCTGAGGTTCAGGATCTCTGTTGCGACCCTTGTTTTTTGGGGGGCGCTAGTGTTTTCTAGATAACGTTTGGTGACATTCTATGACAAGCTGTTTAAGTTACTGACTTGCAAACTCTACCAATTTTTCTACTAGATACCTTGGGCTAAACTATCTGCATGATTTTGAGGAACTGGCCACTGACTTGCAACTGACGTGCACAGCGAAGATCATCTTTCAGGCCAACCTCGTTCAGTTCCCAGGGTCCTTTCTCTTCCTCCATCGAGGAAGTCCTATTTCTCGAATGTGAGCGACCGTTCATTCCCATACAAATCCTAATATTTCGCTTACTGATAGCCTTAAACATTTTGACACCCGCACAGACTCACCAAAACTCACCATTTAAGCATGTTATAAGGAACTTAGTTACAGGAAAAGTATTCCTGATACATCACTCTCCTTACGACTGCTCCCTAATTTAATGTGAATTTGTCTACGTTTGTCAAGCCCTAAGTTACCTGGTGAGACCAAATTGCCATTTTCTTCTTACAGTGATATAAATCGTCCCCTCCAGAGCGAGATGCGAGATGCAACAAGGGGTGAGACGGGCACAAGTGGAGGAGCACGAAAAAAAACGGCAGTCCCTTTTTCGGCGTTGTATCCCTCATACGTAAATCGCCACCCTTTGCGTCCTCCTCACACCCGCGAATAAGTGACACTTCACTGTTCACGCTTTCTTCCTCTCGCTCTTAAATTTCCCTTCGCGCTCTGCTTGTGCTAGCAAAAACACAACGCGTTTATAATAGCGCGCTCTCCCAACAGTTGTCTCGCATTTGTCTCTGCTCGGCTATAATACGCATTTTTGTTAGAAAGATTACAACGTCTATCTCGCAAGCTATGTCTGAGGAGTGGGGTTGATCCTATGCTTCCAGATACTGCATGGGTGTTTCTAGTGACTGATGTATACAGATTATGTGTGGAAGATCAGACAAATCTTAGTAGAGTTGGGTTTGTTGTACCCTGTAAAAGAATTCGGACACTCCAAAAGGATTAAATGAACCATAATTGTCCTGTAGAAAACAATCTACAGTTTGGTCTTCCTCCGGCTCAGGTCAACTGCAATTGCATAATTATTCCAATTTAAACACTTTGAAATTCAGCTTTTAACAATAAATCTTAGCATACTGATCTCAGGAATTTACAGTAGAGTTTGCAGGGTAGTTTCCACAGGGGCAAACAAAGGTGGGTATTGCTTAAATATTTAAAAAGAAAGTCTTAGTGTTCCCCTACTAATATTTTGACCAGCACTTCTGGAATGCATTAGGCTGGACATCTGAAACAAAGGATCTAGGAATAGGATTACCAGCTTAGCAAATACTGCAATACAGCAAAAACTGAACAACTAAATGTGTATTTATTATTTAGCTACAGTCCAACAAGGACAGTTTTTTCCAAACCTACCTGAAACACACTAAACTAATTCATTAAGGTCTTATTAAAAGAAAAGATACTACTACAAAACTCAAAAGAAATAGAGAAAGTTTGCAGTGGAAAGATAACATTTTTCAAATCCAGTTTCTTTTCACAGAGAAAGATGCACCTCCCACAATAAGCATGTTCCGATAAACTTTCTAAATTAAGGTTTTTCTTTGTATTATTTTAGAATGATCACAATTTCTTGTGTTTCTGGTAATACTGTTCAAAATGTTTGGTCAATGGATTTTTCCTATGAATGGAAATACTTGTAAGCAGCAATGGCAACCACAACAGCTACAGCTCCTGCAGGCAAAAGAATGTTGTTTACCCTGCAAAAAGACAAAAAGAAAACAGATCAATTCGCTGATGCTATCTGAGAACTACAGCAGACATAATCAGTAGCATGCCTATGTACATATTGTTAAGGCATCTTTTTCTTGCAGCAAGTTAGTGCTTTGAAAAATTCAAGTTACATTTTGTCAAAGATTTTAATTCACAATGCCAGCAAGGTTCCCCACCTAGCTAGTTGCCACTTTGTTAAATTTCTGTTCACTTGTTACTGAATGCAGCTGTAATTTCAATTGACAAAGAAATATATTAGCATTCCTTTTTATTGAGCCATTACAGAATCCTGATATATCTTCCTTTATTACAAGCACACCTAAAATAAAGTGATCAGTCTCTGGTAAATGATAATTTCAAAATTATACGAATTACAATCAAAAATTATTTTTTATTTTTTTAATTTTTATCCCTTCTTTTACAATGCAAAATTTTTTGTGTAGTATGATAAAGCAATCTGAAGACCATGAATTCCAGATATTCTATTGGTATTATTATCAATTATTAATATCATTATCATTATTACCATTTTCAAATATGGTATATACTGTGCATGTCCTGAAAACTTACCAATTAGGTTTGCCTTCATCATGTTGAACAGTTTTCTTCTCTTGAGACTTATAGAGAGAGATAAAAGAATAATTTTGAAAATACCGCACCAGCCATAATTAAACAACATTGATAAAGACTGAACAATGGGTTCATGTGACCAAATAAGAGTGTAGAGCATAATTTCTCTTTTTTTGGTTGGTCATAACCCTTGAAAATTGAAATTTCAATTGAACAGGACTTCCTCAAAATCACAGAATTGATTCCTTGGAATAATGAAGGGAAAGTTGTATCCTGCTATTTTTTCTTTGATATGAATTGAAGAAGAACATGACATTGATGGTAATTGTGTAGCAGTAGTACTGTGCATACCTTCTCTGGAATCCTATCCTCCTGAAATACAACAAACAAATATTCATATAAATAGGTTGCCGATGGATACATTCTCATACATATACTTTACAGTTTGTTTTAAATGTCGTCTCAGCAACAAATATATAAAGCGATATAATCACATCTTTGAGTAATTCAGTCTTTTTTTTTATTCAAGAAAAGGAGGAAAGTAATTTTCTGATTTTGCACCTGAAAATCATAAGTGGGTGCCAGAAATGAATAAGGACACTTGGAGTAGTCCTACATAATTATCATGGTTACAGTTAAGAGGCTCAAAGTAATTAAAAGATTGCATGACTTCCAAACAAATGTCACCAAAGTGATTCCTGATGTTTGATTTTTCTACAGTTGGAAAGTGTAATAAAAGTAAACTTACTCCATTTTTGATAATTTGGCCATATACACAAAAATCACCTATCAAAAACTTCACCTCAGCAAGCTCTCCAACAAGATACTGCTCCATAAGTTCCCTAGCATCAGAAGAATGTCCTACATCTTCAAAGTTTTCTGTAGCATCTCCACCTTTTTATTGCAGAACCACAAATCATTAATTCAGCATTCAAGTTATGAGTACAGTTAGGCCTAACCTGAATTCACTCTTTGTGTTTTAAGAAAGATGCCATAATGTCAAACATTATTTGATTGATAGTATTGCTAATAAATAAAATTAGAGAGAGGATTAGTTTTGAGCTTGGTAAAGGAATAGAGAAAGATGTTTTTCATCTTATCATGAGCATGGGACAAAGAAAAATTTCTGAGTCCCCATGAGGAATCAAACCTCAGACATTCAGGTTCCATGCTCCAATTGCTCTACCACTGAGCCACAGAGACTCTAAGGAAACGCTATCAACATTGCTGATTCTAGCAGTATGCAGGATGCTTGTCATATGAATTTCGTAACAGCCCTTGCTCACTGCAGAGTTGCTGTGGCTCAGTGGTAGAGCATCAGAGCGTGGAATCCAAAGGTCTGGGGTTCAATTCATCATGGGGACTCAGAATTACAAAAACATCTTTCTCCAATATTGCTAATATCAATAAAACAAATGATAATTATTTAATAACAGAACTAACAATAAATAATAATAATGATAATCAAAACTAATGAAATAAATCCTATGTGGATGTGTGTATGATTGCAAATAAAAGAATGATTTTCACAGGTAAACTGCAATTAAAGAAACTGCTTGCCAGAAGAAATTAAAGCTTTGACCCAGTACTCTAGTGACTAACTAAGCCCTACATTAAGAGTGAGACAACTCAAAGAGGGTTCTTTGAAAACTGTAAAGGACAATTTGATAAAATTCCTTTGCTGAAACTGTAGTGCACCCTTACACACCAAAACACTCTGTCATTTATAATAATGATAATAACAATCATCATTTTCATCATCATAAGTGGTTCCAGAATAGATCCAGACCCCTGAAGCACCAGGGATTCTAGGTAAATTCTATCATCTCCCTCAATTTTAAATCACTCCATAAATTCTTAGTATCTTTCAGAACCATCTTCATTTCTTTTTCAAGAGAAAACATCATAGTTTTAAACATTAGACCACCTACTCTTAAGCATGTAAACATATAAACTTTTGTAGCATCCAATCAGATGGACCCTATAGAAATTCCAAAGCCAACAGAAGTGACTGATGTATACAGATTATGTGTAAGAAGTCCCAAGGAAACAAATAAAGTAACAGTATAAATGTCATCTGGAAACACACAATTATAAAAATAACACTAACCAGCTTGTTCAAGTAGTACTTCCTCTCCACCCGGATGCTAATATGAGAAAAAAGGAACCTAAAATTACACTTATTGCTGTTATTAATAATAACAAAATTAAAATAATGAAGTTAGTAGCAACTTAAAGAATGGCAAAAAGAATTTGCTTCTCCACTCAACTGAACCAAGTTGTTTTGAAATTTCAAAGAAAGTTAATCATACTTTTAGCATTTTCCTATGTGTTACCATGGTTGTTATCGGCCTTTGGAAAAATTATGCACTCTCTTTGCCAAACCACCTTAGTAGGGTGTAAATAAAACGCTATCTGAAGCCAATACATGAGTCAAATCTACAGTGAATAGACACTGAAAGAAAACCAACATGGAAATAGTCTCTGACACCTTGCAGAAATAATCAGACAAAACGAAATTAAGCCTGAAAGTTGGCAGCTGCAAAAATTTAACAAAGTTTAACAAAGTTGTTCTGTCTGATAAAATTGACTTGCATCCTACCTTACTACTCATATTAAAAAAAAAAAGTTTCATTAAACATGTAGAGAAGAGGGAACAAAGAGCAATAAAGAAAAATATACTCCTATTTTTTTTTAAGATTTTCGCAAAAATTTGTATGAAATGAAGATAATGAAAAGAGGCTTTACAGTCTATATGTGTTTAGATGAACAAATTTCATGTTCAAATGACCAAAATCATCCAAGTTGCAAGCACCTGTCCGATGAATAGCGCAGTGAAAAAGATGAGGAAAAATGTTTTTCACCTGAAATAATAATATGAACCGAACTGTAGCACTGATTCACGTGGGAAGTGACTGCTACATCTCGTGCCACAAGGGGCAACATGACGAGAGAAGGGGTGATACAGGAATCTGCTTCAAAGGGTCGCTCACGCTAACCGCTGAACGTGGTATGTGGAAAAACATGTTTGGAAGTGACATCAGAATAGGCTATTTCATAGATTAAGTGTACATAAACTGCAAACATTTAATGTACCAGATTAGAAGACTGGTCTATCATGTCTACTATGTACATTAACTCTTAATGAGCAAAGGTCAACGTGCATTTCTAATTGAAATACGGTCATTGGTGGATAAATATCAATGGAACAAAACTTATAGGCGCAATCAACTCTTGTAACAGGTTCGAGTTCACGAATGAATCTGCTCTTTTCCCCTTAAAATTGATGCGATCTGGATCCAAACAAATAACGATCAAGTTATTTGTAGATGAAATGTACAATATTTGTATTGACATGTACAGTCCACGGGCCGGTACAGATTGCATCACACCGCAAATCATGCGAGTTTTCGTTGAAGAAAAATCCTTCTTACCTCATCTAAGAATTTCGTAATATCATAGATTCTGTTATGGATAATTAACCAAGACGATCCCGCAGCATTATGCTTTTGAACTTCTTCTAAAGGGATGGTTTTTACACTCTCTGCTGATTCAGCCATGGTACTACAATGGGAGGAATCTTCCAAAACGGGTAACGCATGCGTGAAACTCGCCCCAGACTGCCACACCGTAACTCGACATTACTTGGAGACAAGGTGCCCTGCAGTACCCTGAGTAGCCAGTGTTCACCATTCATCCGAACGCGAGTAATGAAGACCATTAAAAGCAAGTGAGAAGTCGCGTTCTTGTCCAGTGCCAACTCAAATTCTCTAAACTAAATCGAGACACTTACGATTCTGATTTTTGGAGGCAGGAGAGACCTGAAGAATTTCATTGAAATTCTACATTCATGCAAGGATGCTGATTGCAAACACCTGCCTTCGGCATGTACAACTCTGGGAAACTGTCTTCGATAGAGATGAGTATCACAAGTAAATAATTAAATAATTTTTTAACGTGAGGATAAAATAGTGAATACAAATAAACGATAGTGATCCTTGCAAAAAAGCATTTCTATTTTCGTGATCTATTTACTTGCAGCTCACCGGCGGGGATCATAATTATGAGACGGATGAAAATGGCCGGAGCCTGCAGTTTGGTTGAATTGAAAGACTGGTGATCTTACCATTTCCTGGCCTCTGATATTTAAGTTATGCAGTTCCACATCATATTTGGAAGAAACTGCACCCTAAGTAACAAATTTGTCATTCCTTGTGGTTGTGAGAGATCATCAGACGTGAAAAGATAACCGTAATGACCTTAAGAAGCGAGACAACAGATTACAACAATAAATAGTTGGTTTTGACGAACCTTTAGGACGGGCACAGCTTTCAAATATGGGGGACGTCGGCTTGGGTGCTAATTGTGGATTACCACAGAATATTCCATACGCGGGCTGACTCAAAGTCGGATTTTAAATTTACCATGCTAGCTTGATCGGATTTGGAAAAATTCTGCTATGGTCCACAAGTCCAGGCTAGGTCATAAGGCGAGTGTTTAAGGAATATGTAAGCAGCGTTGGACCAGCATCCTTTTCAAAGAGAGTGGTCATACTCTTAATCGCTTCAGTAGAAGAAAACTGAATCCTCCTAACAGCTATGAAAGTCAGTTTGAGCTCAGTTGTTAAAATGGCAGTTGCCATCCAACGGATAAGTGCTGACTGAACACTCTGCGCTATCTACTGGATAGAGATTTATCCACGGAATGATTCCTCACCCTCTGAACATTTCTACTTTCATCGGCTGGGGATACGCAAATCACCATGGACAAGAGGATGTAGACACACTAATGATCGTTAGAGCATGGTTGGTAAAGGTAAATTGTTAGGAGACCGATTGAATGATTTCTTCATAAGTTGCTGTTGAGAGTGGATAACGCTTTCCAAAAGATCGCTATCCAAGGGGTAGAAATTCATTATCCAATGGACACCGTTATCCACCCTTTAAACAACTGGGACTCAACTAACCCAAACTTGGAACCCATTGAAATTGTTTTGAACTGACTGACCAACGTATACTTCATATCAATTTTCAGTTCATCTTTCCTTTTTGCCGGCTTTCCTATCCAATCACCTCAAATAACCATGATTAGGATGAAAATTTAGATCCAACAGCTTGGAGTTATAGTAACACCCTGGAATGATTCAAAGAATTCCACAGTATTCAAGACAGAAATTTTAATCCACAATAAATGGAACAGAAGAAATAATTTATACCAGTTACGCTTAAATTTGTGTCTCGTACACAATTACAGGCCATGAACAAAAAACTTTACACATAATGCTTTTGTACATAAACGAAACTTAATTAAACTTGGGAAGCAAATTTTATGTACATAACGAAAGTACTCTTTATGATATTTATTATATAAGTTCGCACAACTCTTGGAACAAAACGATATATAGTTTTTTTTTTTAACAAACTGAGCTTAGCTAATTGGGCTCAATTCATTCCTATTGATTAAATATTGTAGTGGCTTCTGAAAACTGAAAAGGTTGTCGTTTTATCAGTTATGGAGGTTTCTCGGTCTCTTGAGGAGTTTAGAAGAGCATCGTGAGTGTTTCGTAATGTTAATTGTCTTATGTCTAAGGACCCACACAAGTTGGTAGCTTCTGATTGGCTAATTGCAAAAAGATTTTTAAATTATCAATTTTAACTACAGTACGACTAGGACAGCGGTCAAACGGTGACCATGAGAAATTCCTGCCAAAGCGAGAAAAGCTGGCTAAACCAGAGTTTCGAGGCTTCGGGAAACGAAATTATTACCCTACCGCCTAAATATATCACAATATGCTTTAATTTTACCAAAACTTACGTGAACTTGCGCCTATCTTACAACCAAACTTCTCAAAACAATAGCAGCAAGACCTCAGAAGTCTCTACTACCATAACGAACCGTGCACCTTAAAAGCGAAATTTCACGAGGAAAAGAACGTCACATTTGTTCTCATCATTTGTGAAGATGATCTAAGAAAACCAAGGAATATGGCTTTTTTCGCTGGTACTCTCACTTCATAAATAAACACAAACCACAGAAAGTGGAAGATTAACCCACTAATCTCTAAAGAGTTACACTGTTATCTGTATTTTACACAAGGCTTTCATAGAAAGAAATGAATATCACCGCTGTTCTAGATGTTTGCTGTTGACAAGGTTATTCTGCAACCCGTCAACCTCCTGGCTCTTTTACCTTACTGTGTAGAAAGAAATTCTATAGCGTATTCAAAACGATATCTTTGGAAGGAAGACTACCTAGAAGAACAAATAACTGTGTAACTTTCTCTAATCACAAAATAACCAGAAAACTTATTTCATATTTAAGAAAGCTCACACCTCGCGAGATGTGTCATCTAAAGTAGGCAGACAGCATCCAAGATTATTCTTGAGTCTTGGTTGTGAGTGTAATACGTTTCGTAACCTCTACACCTGTACTACTGCGGCTAAAATCCAGAAGGCTCTTCATCGGTTTATATCTACCCCAATAATACTCAATAGGCTACTGTTAGTTTGCCTCCTTTACATTAATAAAAGCCTTTAGAAGCAAAGAGTGATTTAAAAATTAAATTAAAACCACCAGAGCGCTTAATTTAAGTTAAATTACCTAGCCCATAAGAAAAAAAGAACATATCTGCAACAGAACCATACATTACCCCTCAAGAAATAAGTCGTTAAACGTCTAGTTAACTTAATAAATGTACACTTGTTTAGATGTCTCCGTTATTCCAATTTAGTCCCACTAAGCGAGCTCTATATAATTTAAATTAAGCAATAATAATTTACGTGCTATAACACTACTTTTAAATTTGAGCCACGGAACTTACCACAGTAATTCCACATTTAACGCCACGGTGGCATTATCGCGGGCGCAGAATTTACATTAAAGACCAGGACTCGAGAGACAAACCGAAATTAGCGCCTAGTTTGTTGCCTACCCCCTCCCCCCCCCCCTCAACTACTCCCACACAGATCGGAGAAGTCATGAAAGATAATCAACTCGTTTCAATACAGCTGTGTCTTTCCAAATTATGCGAATTTCAAACTCCCTTTACAAGGAGAAATCAAGGTTCTACCGAAAACCGAAAATAAGTTAAAATAAGAGTAACAACTACAAAAAAGCAACGATTCACGAGGAGTAGATTTTGAATCAGGTAGTTTTTTTTTAGTTCACAGTGTATTTTTCCAATTTAAGATACAAAGTCTTGACTTTTTCAGTCGCTGGTAACTTATCTCTTGAACAAGGACGCAAAGTTTTAGTTTAGTATAAAAACAAACAAAACATTACAAAATGGAAAGACCAAATGAAAGGGAACATAGACGGTTTGGAATGGACATGATTAACAAGCATTGCAAACGAAATTGAAAGTTTTGGTGGCAACATATCACTTTCCCCTATGACAAACGGCAATTTACAGCTACAGAGTACCATAACATCACAAACATCACAAACAGATTGATCTTTGTACATCTTGCTTCTGAAATTATCAATTTTCTGTAGCCGATATGCGAACAACTAATTAAAGAGTAAATCTACTCAAGTCCTGAATGTGATTAAAAAATATCAAGTTCGGAGCTACTCTAAAGTTTCAAAGCTAAATACGGTAACTATGTTACATGATCGGTGATCTATTAAGAAAGTACTTGTGTGCAGTCCTCCACAGATAATCACGGTTGAGCTGTTAAGACAGCCTCACAGGCCCTTGGAAACTGGGGGGAGGAGAGTAAAACTCATTCAACTTGACAAGGTCACGGATGCATCTACTGCTTGTGTGCAGACAGGTACACCAAAAGTCAAACATCCGTGTACCGAACATCGATCTCTTCCAGTCTTGGCAATTTCTGCAACAAAAATTTAAAACGAAATTACAACTCAGTGGGTATGTATTTGATGGCAAATGAACAAAATTCCGCGAAGTACAAGAAAGGTAGGGGGTGCGGAGAGACACATTTAACCACTGACTGGGGCGGGATCAAACTGGGAAACACCATAATTCTGTTTGCGAGTCCAACACACTGACAATTTAGCCACGCTCCCTCCTGGCACCGAACAAGGAATGATCACATAAAATTGACAATGAATTGAAAACCGTCCCAAAAATATGTTGTGGGTCTATTTTATTTTTCTTAATTTCAGAACCATTGCAAAAACTCATTGAACTCAAACATAAAGGACAGTAAAATTTTAAGTAATGAAGTAGGACCACAACCGATGCTAAGGAATAAGTAAAAAAAAAAGATGGATAGCAAAGCTACCCCGAAGGAGAGAAGCCACTGTTCATTCTGGAAAGTTAGAAATAATCTACCCCAGTTATATTCAACCACTGGAAATACTTCCCATGTGTTCATATTTCAGTAGTTTACTTCGCAGGTAATCGCTAGAAAACATTTCCAACTCTGAAACAAATTTAACTCGACTCGATTACGCCACTTGCCTTAAGTTTTTCGTATGTTGTCGGCGAAAGTCTGGTGCTGTTCAGGTTCAGATTTCGAAGACTGGACATGATCACGAGGGATGACAGTCCGTCATCCGTCACGGGCGTCTCACACAGGTTCAGTGACTCTAAGTTGTGCAGCTGCTCTGCCACCATGTGCAAGCCTTTATCACCAAACTAGAAAACCCGGTTTAATATTTTAGATTATCATTTGCGTGAGACTGGGCTTCAGGGATTTTATAACCTTTAATGCTACAGCATCGTTGGGAGAGTATCCCGGCAAAAGATTAAAACTCGACTTCCTCTACGTCCCATGCAAGTTCTGACACACGTGTATCCTAACGCTAGTGCCTGGGCCTGCCCTCTGATGACTGTCTAAGTAGGGCGACCGTACCTTTCAGACCTTGAAGACGCCTTTTTACCGCTTCTGTTTCCATGTCTGAATCAAGGCAGGGGAGGGTAGGCTACCCACAAAAGTTGTAACGGGGGATGGTTAAGCTTCCCTTGGGGTAATTAAGGGAACCGCAAGACATAGTCTTTCATCTCCAAGACCTTACTAGCAACAGAAAGAAAAGGAATGATCAACAAACCTGTGTGGACCAAAGGTTTAAATGTAGCAGGGCTGGCAGTTGAACCAAGTATTCAGCACAAGCGCTGGTTACATGTGTGAAGGCAAGGTTTAGGCTCTGAAGGTTACCAAAAGAACCAGACTTGAGAAGACGGGCCAAGTCGTCATCCTGTAGAAGACAAGTTATTTGTTACGTCAGCGCATTTTTTCCACTGACAAATAGACGAGAGCTTATTCGATGGTCTGCCAAGACTTTACATATTGGACCGACGTCTTTAGACCTTAACTAATAAACAGGAGCTTGTTTTACGCCTTCCGTTTGCTGTAGTTTTGGTTGCTCCTGCTGATGTTGTCAATGTATTTAACAGTGCAAAAAACACCTACCGTCGATTTTGTAGGAAGGGTAAGTACTGTTGGTCCCCCCTTTTCCTGCTGAAGAGAAAGAAAAAATTAGGAGACATTAAATGTTCCTAGAGCTTAACTGACAATTAAACAGGAAAGAACACATTTAAAGCACTTTCAAAGAAAACAAATATTTTTCCTACCATCTGTCTGAACTTGGCTTTTCTGAAAAACAAAGAACAAGACGATAAGTACGGATCAAAGAACTCATTGGCACAACACCATGGCCAGCGGTCAACGTCCGTGCATGTGTGAACGTTGCATCGAGGCAGCCCTACATAATGTTTTCAGGCTAAACTACCTCAAAAACTAAACGGTTAAGAAGTTTCAATCGCGTAAAACATATTGAGAAAGCTCAAAACAAAATGGTAACCCAAAAAAAACCCCGTAATTAAATAAACTTTGTGTTCGCAAAATCTTTAGTCCTCCTTCACCATGCTTTTATTTCCTTTTACATTTTTCTTTTAAAGAACATTTCAATTTATTGTCGTAAATTTTCCATGCAGCAGTTTCATCGTGCGTTTTCCTTAAAAATTTTACGCGGAAAATTCACACACGGCTGACCAAAATTGATCAATTTGCGCATGCCCAACGATTGACCGCTGGGTTGTCTTTTGTTGAATAATAACTTACTTCTGACACAGAGCTTCATAACACAGTTTGCCTTCTTCGGTGCTTTCTAATGTAGAAATGATCTGTAATTTTTCATTTTCGTCTTGCAGAACCTCAACTTCTAACATGAATGCCAAAGTCTGTCAAAAACAGAAACAGAACTGAATTAACCCTTAACAAGATACGATAATTTATTTAACCAAAATGATAATAATAATAACTGAGATTGGTATGTACATATACATGTACATGTATTTCTCTCAGAATTTCAGGGCCCAGAGACGATTGTTCAATTGTTAACGGGTGATTTTCTATGCACAGTGCAAATAACATCAACGATTATAATCTGCTTCAATAACAGTGCTCCACTTACCTGAATAAAACTGCTGTCGCCTCGTAACGCAAGCAGCATAAAGGGGCCGAGCATGGACTCCTTGAGATCCAAAAGAATCTTTTTTCTCCTCCCACAACAATTTAGTAAGCGACCCATCTGAAAGGAACAAGCAAGGTTTAACTCGATGAAAGTTTAACCAGTGTGGCAGACGCCCGAGTGAGAGTGATGCAAACCGACACGCGCGACCGACACGCGCGACCGACACGCGCGACCGACACACGCGAATGACAAGCTACTGCTGACGGGGACCGTACGTTTTTGACTCAGGAGTGACATGGTAAGAAAGATTAGATGCTAGTCATTCTTGGGGGTCAAAAAGTTAAGTTTTGATAGAAAAAAAAAAACTACAAAGGAACTCACCACGTGGGAGAAAAAATGTCCTTCATCAAAACAAGAAACTCCTCCTGGGCAGATGATGTCGATCCAGCCATCTTTACCTTTCCTGACAGGAAGAATGGACTGATGGACCTACAGAAAAACAACGCAATTCAATGAAATGAAACATAACGGAAATGTTGAAATGTGTATTCCTCTACGGATTGTAACATTTTTTTCTCTGGCACAGTGACTTGCGATGAAAGCTGGTTACTAGTAGTCTACCGATATTTTCAAAACCCCTTACCGCCGTCTGCTTAGTCTCTGAGCAGACTCTTGTCTTAAGGTTAACCCCATCAGCAGTCGCTTATGGAGAAAGTTATTAAAACCCCTATAAGAAAAGGCTTTATCACAAACAAGCAGTTCTAGCCGGGGTCAGGGGCGTACAAGAGGAGAGGGCTTTGGGGAGGAAGAAAACGTTTTAGGGCATTTACTGTTGGCACGAAAGTGGAAAGAGTACCTCACACCGTTGATCTTCTGCAAACGCTTTTATCACTGCACTAATGTACCTGTCAGAGGAAGCAAACATTGATTACTGTGGGTGGAAATAATCAAGATGGCCAATAAGATACTGAAGAACTTGACCACTTTTAAATCCTTCTAAAGATTTCCAAGATCACTTTGTTAACGGGTGTCTCTGCTGCTTACGTAAAAGTTTTCTATTCACTACCACACTAAGAAGGATATCCTTACTAATAGAGAACACAAGCAAAATTTTTCATATCCCTCAGACGGTAAGTACCTCAATTTCTGAGCATCACAAGCCTTGGCGATCCACTACAATTATTACATTACTGGCGACTTCTACTTTTGACCAGAAAAGTATTTTTTTCCCTTAATTCAAGCAGGAAAGACAATAATCCCGTTATTTTAAACTCGGTTTGATTCATTAAAGACGGTTGAATATTTGCTTAAGTGTTTTCACAGCCACACATCACATGGCGTGTACACATCACATGGCGTGTACACATCACATGGCGTGTACACATCACATGGCGTGTACACATCACATAGTGTGTACCTCACGGTGTAAAGGACCTGATCTTACATAAAAGGGTGTGACTACTTACAATACAAATGTCTCGTTCTTGAGAGCCCTGTAAGAGAGCAGTTCAGGTAAGTACGCTGTGAAGGCCAACACACAAATTTGGATTTGTGCTTGTGTAATTGAAGTACGCAAGCATCAATACCAAGATTTATAAATGTTCAGTGAAAGCAACTTTTTAGAATTAAACTTATTGCTATATGAATACTTACTCTTTTGGGAAAGGTATGGGCTGTAGTAGTGTTGATAGATTGGGTCTCCAGTCTTCAAACTGTGCACTGAAATTGAGAACCAGACAGCGACGAGTCATTTATGTCTGTGCAACACTTACACTTAGGTTTCTAGTTCTTCAGAGCAACGTGGAAAAGATTTTACAATTTTGCATGCCAACTCCTAAGTGATACATATGCATAATTACACTGCACCATCCAGTAAAAAGGTGTAGAAGTAATGCAAAGAAGCAAAATCATGCTACAAGGTTTTACCTTAATAAAATACCAGAGCCTCTATACTAATTTACTAAGATATGTACTTTGTATGTTTAAACACGATGGGCAGAAATTAGAATTCCTTATCTTATATCGAGAGTTATATTATAAATAGGTTCTAGTTAGTTCTATTATTTAAGTGTAAGCACAGAGATTCTTTTCCAGCTAAGTTTTCTGTTCCTTTTTTTAATTATTACTAATTAGTTAAAAAAAAAAAAAGGTTTTGACAGAGACTGCCTGATCTGTGGCACTAGGCAAAAGGTTTACATATCCACAAACAAAACTGGAATACAGAACAGTCTGGACTGACATCTTTATTATCTCAAGAGAAATAATCACCAGTAAGTGATCTCTGAAAATAATTCCAAATGATCAAACAAATGAACTTTTTACTTACATGGTATCCATGACTGTCATGAAACAGAGCAGAAAGTTTGTGTTGATTTCTTCGTACTTGACAAGCCTAGTAATGACACATAACACAGACAAGTCATTTTTAGTCACACTGAGGTTAACTTGGAAGACAGAGTTCATTTTACTACAACAACAACAGCAAAACCAATCTTTACATTTTGGTCCTTAAAATAAAAGCTACTGCCAGTCTGGCCCACAGGTAGCTGGTGCTAGCCTAGACAGGCCAGTCTTGAAAACTAAAAGGAATAATCCTAACTTATTGTGGATTAATAATTATTTATAAATAATTGCGAAGAAGTTATCATTAAGATGATAAAATAAAGGAGGGTGAAGACAGACAACAAATCAAATAGCAGAGGTTCTTCCAGGAACCACTTCAAATTCAGTTTTCTGAGCCATACTACAGACTTGCATTTACAAAACTAAGAAAACCTACACTTTACTAAACTTACAACTTGTCACTTTGATCAAATGTGGAATAAACTGCAGAGAGGACAACTGCAACTAGATTTGGAAGGACACGAGGATGTGGACAGGTGGCACTTGGACTGTGAACACTGGTGAAAATTCATTAGAAAAATTAGGATTATTATAATACAGAGCAACTATGGTTAAGTAAAAAAAACAAACCAAAATCAAAGAAATCATAACAGCCAACAGGAGCACAGAAAAATGCCAAAAGAAGCCACTGCAAGCTTTGAGTAAAACCTGAAGTGTGAGAAAACTCTCTGTGCAAAGATCTGAACAACCAAATTTACAGTATTTGTTAGAGACAAGCAGTCATCCTTAAAACAAACAGGTGGAGTAGCATAGCCTTACCTCTCTACAAACTCTCTGACAACATCTGCATAATCTTTGCAAAACAATGTATAAATATAATCTTGTACAAACATTCTGAGATGTGGATATTTTCCAAAATCCTGAAAGAAATGATACATAATGATCAGTAAGTAAAGCACAGCACAGACAGGTCATTATTAACATGAAAATAATCATCATTAAGGAACTGAAAACCATTTAGAATACAATTTTATCACAATTTCTGATAATGAATATCAACAGATTGTTCATATAATACTTGTGTCTCACAATTTGTGGCACCAAAAACACTTCAGACTAAATTTACCATCAGCACAAGTAGTTCTTAGCTTAGAAAATAATGACAATTATAATAATAAAAATAATAACAATAATAATACAGTCATTTATATAGTGCTGTATACAGAAGTTCTAAAGTGCTTTATGATAAAAGGAGAGCATATAATTGAGAAAACTAATAATCACCTAAGATAAAGGCAAAAGCAAAGTTGTATAGAGCCTTAAAAGTGACTAGAAGCAAGTTAAAAACCAATAAGATGTTCAACTGAGAGCCAATGAAGTTCTTAACTACAATACACTGTAATTCTCACCATGTTATGTTTAAGAATTCTGTGAACAGCTGGGAGGAAGACATCTAGTACTTCATTATTATAAAGTTGGCCCTTGCAATGCTGCAACAAGCGACACACCAAAAAGATACATTCAGAACAAAAAAAGAACTCTCGTTAAAACTTTGTGACATCATTTTTTATGCCTACTGAACATGTTAGGTTGGACAACCTTTTTACACCATTTTTCAAACTTTTCAACACCTGGTTGATGGCCTGTTCTTTGACTATCATACTGATGGATTCTATGTTTGAGATCTTACAAAATGAACAATTACGATGAGGTTTTATCATCCTACACGAAAGTTACACAAAAATACACACATACAGTGTCTACATGTAATTGTCGCATCTTTACCTTGCTAAAGAAAGCACAAACTTCAGGGGAAGGCTGAACATATTCCAGAACAGGTGCAAGTGCCTTGAAAATCAGAAAGACAAATTCATCAAAACAAAAAAAAAAGCATTCTGTACAAAATGTAAAATTTAACATACCAAAAAGGGCTGTTGGTGTGTACCATAACAATAGGAGCATGAGTGTAATGTATGTTCCACAAGTTTTAGTGTCCACTAATGTTCTTCAACATAAATTTTTTTTTGAATCTACATAGTACATAATGCACCTAAGTGGAGATATGCATCATTAAATATCTGTCTAACCCAGAGACATTGGTTCAAAAGACTTCTTCACCTACTAATAGCAGTAGTGGTCCTTTGACCTTCACAAACTTTTACAAAACATCTGTGTTCAATCATCAAAATTCAACATTCTAATGCTGTTTACTGACCACTATTAAGTTTTCTTGTTCCTCATCAGAAAATGAGATGAAATGCTGCAAGAAAAATGTGTTAGTGTTAAAATTATGATTTTCACATGCAAGAGACGATGAGTGAGAGATGTTTGTATGTCTGATGCTCACACTTCATTCTTTCTGTGTGACACAAGACAAACAAAACCCCTCACACTCTATGGTTGTCTAATGTACATCCCATCAGGTTAAATAAATTAAGATATCAGAGTAGAATCTTACATGTGCGAGGATATCCGAAACCATCTCCAAAGGAACAGTAAATATAACGTCATCTTGTATTGGAGTGGTTAGTGAGAAAAGTACAAGTTCCTATAATAAAATAGAAGTCAAACCTTTTCATAATTATGCAAGAGGATCTGAAAAACAATTATTTGAAAACATAAGTGCAGTGATTTATTGTCAGACTGACTAAATAGCCAGTTGATTAAGCTCTCCACAAATGGAAAAGACCAAACCAAAACAAAAACAGCTTTAGTTAATACAAGCAGATCAATTAATTTGTACCCTCTGAAAATAATTTGAACATTCTCCCTCCCAGCCCCTCAAAAGTAATTTGAGAGCTGACACATACACTTTATCAGTTGATACAGAAATTGCCATGTGAAAGAGACCCTAAAATACTGTTGTCATTTATCACACTGTTGTGGAGGCAGTGTAGCTAGGTGGATAGGGCACTGGTATTGTAATCTGTAAGGAATTGACCCTACTTCCTTATGGATTTGTTCTTGGTTGTCCCAAGGTTAATTCCTTCACTACACTTTTTATACAATCAACTGATCTGACTCCTGTCAATCAGGGTTTTTTAAGAAGTTTTGTTTACACTCTTGGGCATAGATGAAAATTACTTGGTGTAAATCTGCTTCAGTAGAATAAAATGAATAATTACCATGATTATTAGAACTTGATCAGTAACTGATATTAATATCTTGTCGCCCAAGTGGATGCAGTGAACAATAAAATATTGTTTAGGGCCCAAAATGGTAATAATACATACCCTGAGCTCCTTTGTTAAAGCTTCAGGATCACTGGATTTTGATATAAGTCTTTTATATCTTAACAAGTTAACCTGCAAAGAACAGTGTTCTCAGTATTGGGTTTGTGCCTGAAATCCATGATCTTTTTTTTTTTCATTTGGAAAATGATATTTAGAGCAATGATGCTTAGTATAAACTGTTACTCCAACATGGTATAGTGCTCAGGCGAATTTGGGGCAACAAATAACCACAGTGTCTTCATTTTTGCATATCTGAGTCCCCATAAAAACTTGCTTGCTTGAGGTTAAACTAAGTACTCTTCCCCCTTCCAAGACAGATGCTTAGGTAACAGGAAAAAGGGAACTCTGTAGGAACTTTAAAACTGCAACCAGCCAATACATCATGTACATGTAGTTTACCAACTGATTAGTCTTGCTCCACAAACAAAGCAGAAAGAAAGCAGGGATGACCTTACTAAATCCAAGTTGATGGACAAGTGAAATTACATTAAATTCAAAATAGTTAATTTAGTTATTTAAATAAATTATATTTCAATTGTATTGATTTTTAAAGCAGTTAACTTAATTTATGACTGATTTAACCCATATTTTTTGTCAATGGGTACAACCTGGTAGACTGATACTGGTGGAGAGTAAAAGAGTTGCCCACTCAGAAACTGGATGTGTGATTTGCAGTTGAAGTTGAAGCATTTTATCAATATGTTGGCAATCTAAGTAAGTTTATACAATTACTGTTAGAATAATTTCCTTACCTTCCATTTCAATGAATGAAGCCACTGATCTCTCAGATATGCATTGGGTGCCTAAAGAAAATAGGGAAATTTAAACAAGTCATCTCTTTAAGGCAAATCTGAGGGTTAATTGGGTTTTAACTGTTGCAAATCACAAGCAGAGCTGCACAACTAAGGAAAGCCTAGATACTAATTCTATGCAAGTTGATGTCAAATACTGAAAACTTACCCCAAGCCTTGCCTGCAGTAATATTTTCATGAATCTTTGCCACTTTTTTTTATGTTTTTGTGTGTGTACTCTTTTTATTTTGGTGTCTTAAGAATACTTTTTAGTTAAAATCCACCAGTTCCCACCTTGACAGTGAGGGTTGGGATTGAAGCTTGGCATTCTGAAGTAAACATGCATTGCCTATATTTAAATCCAAACTTAAACAAAATTCATTTTTTAAATTTACCTTAAGTAATACAGAGCCATCTGGAATTGTAACTCTAATGCAGAAATGCTGGCCAGTGTCCCATCTGTTCACAGTATATGCATCCAGTATTTCTTGATAAGACAGAGGACATTCCATGAACCCCACACACTGAAACACACAGAGAAAAAACATATTAAACAATATGGGCGATCTTAATCTTCTAAAAATCCCCTGCTGTACCTATTTCAAACGTAAGAATTACAAGTGGCCCCTGTATAGTTTAATCCAAATCATAGCCAGTTGAGATATTTTCAAACCAGTTTTATTCCTTGATTTCCTTTCTCATGTATTCATTTTCATCATTAAAAAAAAAAATTCAAATCACACTTAAAAAGTTGTTTTAAAGAAGGAAAAGAGTTTAAAAAACAACATAAAAAACATCTAGGAGAAAAACCACCTAAACATTAATGAATGTTCTCTAATGTAAAAAAGGTTGGAAATCCAAACTTGTGGGTGCAATTTGAACAAAAAGTGTGCCATGCAGCAGTTATCTTTTCCATAAAATCATCTCAGTGCACAAAGAAATTATTAACATGTTATAATTTTTCTGTTCCTTTGCATTTCCTATGGCCCTGGACAACATCAGTAAAAGAAACTGTACACGTGTACACCATGAACCATGCAATTTCTACAACCATGCAAAAAATGTAATCTACTGGATATATACAGCTAGTTCACCCATCAGATAGCCTATCAGCAAAACAAATACACACAGTACATTCTTTGAACAATTGGTACCAGGAAATAAAGCTCAGCTGCAGTTGATGAACTGCTCATCATACACTTTTAGGAAAAAAGGCTGAGGGTCGTCTGAGGGTCGAAGTTGTCTTCCTTTTTTTTTGTTTGTTTGTTTTTTTAATAATTTGCTATTGTTTTTGTTTTCGCAAAGATATACCATGAAGTTTACAACACATAACACTAGTCTTGTTCTGTTAGGGTTTTGAGCCTCATTACTAATTCAATACTTCAGGCTGGCTAGCACATTTAGTTTGTAGCAGAGCCATGCACAGTTATCTATCTTGAAAAGACCTGTAGTTAGAACTGTAGTTGGTACATGTAGCGGCAATTGATAACCTCAGTGAAAGTCATCATCAGAGTCAAGTAATGAGTTTTTTTGTCAGTCGTAAAATACCAGTCTCTCTAGTGAAACAGGCTGTTAAGAAGTGCAAGAAAGTTATGATTTGTCAGTTTCAACCAGTTGGAAAGTAAGGTTGTTCCATTCATTTCACTTGTCATCTTATTGTTATGATTTGGATTCATAGTGACAAAACTCTATAATCATGTCACCTGCCTGTAAGGATGCAAAATTGGTGTCCCCAATGGGTCTGTTGTCTTCTTTATCACTCAAATTTGAATTAAGTTGTTATCATGTTCTATGACACATACAACTCTTAATGTTCATTTTTAAATGGTTACAAATCGAGGTACATTTGGCATATGAAGATTTCCAAGTACCATGAACTGAAAGAGCGCAATACCATTTTTTTATACTCTGCATAACTGCTAACATATCAAAATATAAATAGCATGGTAGATTTGTTATGTAAGAGGCAGATTTTGCATTCTTGTCATGAAAACATCTTTATCTATTAAATCTCATCCGGTACCAAACAAGGACTCCTAATTCTCATCATAAACCAGAAGAAAGACAAGAAAGAAAGTCCAAGAAAGACAAATTTCATTATTTTCTTTCCAGAAAAACACCCCTCTGTTTTGTATCACATGTTTCCAAAGCAACTCTCAACTAAATATATACTCAAAACAACTGATAACAAATTTGATTTCAAAACTATCCAGCCTTGACATTACTTCAAGTATTTTTTCCTTAGATCACTCCATAATATTTACTGAGCTTAACGTTGAAATACACATGCAAATGCAACATTTTCAAAAGTTTAATGAATAAAAAATTGTAATTAGTGAATTTGGTCTGATGAAGAACAAAAATCTTTCTTTTTACCTTAGAATGTGAACTTCCTTTTTAAATGGCAATTCATAAACAGAATTTACAAAACTGTTTTTATGTAACTTATTGACTAAAATACTAGAGAGGAAAGCCCCATAACAGACAAGATGGCAACTCCTCATTAGCGAGTCAAAGAAAAAAAAAGGAATTGTTATGCAAATTTTTATCTGCCTTTGTGTAGAGCAGACTTTTAATCACCCAGTTTACTACAAATTACTTTGCACCCATGATGTTGTTAAAAAATATATGTCCACTGGATGCTGAACATGCTGGGGCCATCTTTATAATATTTTTGTCAAAGACAACAGCTCAACCCTTTAAAAACACCCTTCAATTTAAGCTTAAATATCATTACAAAATAAAATATTGGTATCCACATTGCAGTTTAATTGCTCCAAAATAAAGCAAAATGGGCATTTCAAAAACAACATTGGTTAAGTCAAATGTTTAACCTTGGAACAGAAATAAATTGATTCCGACATAATGTCATGTATGATTGTAGCCTAATCCTTTGAAAATCCCTAAAATCCTTAAATATGAGTCAGCCACTAGGAGAAAATTGTAAGAATTTTAGTAACTGGAATTTTAAGCATCATGCAAGCACTTGCTAGAACTTTTCCACAAGAACATCATAAAGAAAAAATAAAATGGAAAAGGCACTATTGCACCTTTCTGTGGGAAAGGACAGCCACATTTTTGTTCTAAACTTATGACCCCAGAGAAACAACACATAGAAAGGTTCTAAACACATAGAATGAAATAAATTTACCAACCCTTCACTGGGGTCTTAAACAAAATGAAAGTTCAGTCATTTGCTTTATATATCCTCTGTACTTTACCCAATTTTAACAATCACATTATCAGTACTCAACACTAGTTTGATGCATGGCATTGAAGCTCCACTTTGCTTACAAAACTCAAACGAGTGTTACTCAGTTAATGAACACTCATGCAGTATCGATAAATACGTTTTTTTAACTGGTGGTTCAACTTTCTCCATGAATAAAAAAAACTATTTGACACATTTGACAAATTTCTCCTGGGATAAAAAAACCCTTTAAACCAATTTGACTTTTATTACTTTTCTTTATTTCAGGTTATAACAATGAATACAAAATAAAGAAAAATACAAATCAAAATTGCAGCAGCTTACTTAATTCATGTTGCTACCTGCTGGGATATTTCTCCAGCATCACTGGTAAAAACTGCCAATGCAGCCACCTATATAGTTGATCAGTAAAGCTTTCATCATCAAAACTTTCTGGCACCAGAGTGTCTTAAGCTCCACAAAAAAAAAAAACATTCTGGTGATGCAGACACAAGTCTTTCCAAAACAACAAAATTTTATTAAGGTACATGTATTTTTTTATATTTCCATGAAAACTACATGGCATTATCTGATATAATAAAAATAAAAATAGTAATAATATTGATAATAATAATTTTGCAAGAATTATCATAACAGTAATAATAATTCTACGTTATTCAAATGTAGCATTGTTCAATATAATAGTTTCAAGGTCTAATATCCATTTCTTGAGCAAAAAAAGCAGAATTCACCCCACATACCTAGTACAGTAGGTGTACCAAAGGATCCAAATAATTGAGAGGAAATTAATATAAATGTTATTTTTGGGGTCATGTTGATATCAGAGTAATGATGATACTTTGCATTTATTGAACAATATAAGAACAATTGATGCTTGCCATGGTAACTACGATAATATTTTAATTAATAACTGAATTAGTGGTATGAGTGGCCACTTTTGCCATTGGAGGCAGCCAAGTGGCAATGCATTGACCTGTTTCTAAAACTTACTGGTGATAAGAGGAACATTTTCATAAAACATTACCCATGCTCCTTTGTTTCCTTCTAAAAAGAATTTCCATTTTACCTTTGTTGCCCAAGTATTAAGCCTTGATTTCATATAATGGGTTGTAGCTAAGAAATTTCAAGTGAAGCAGCTTCAAAATGGTGGACAATTGTAAAAGTGTATTATCTCACACATGCCAGTTATGCTTAACCAAGTGTTTGCCAACAGAAAAACCAGCCGGCAATTATTGCTTTTTCATCTGGTGAATTTTGGTGACAGCTGGCAATTAGTGACAACCCTGCATGAAAACCTCCAGAGCCAAATGCTAGACACATTGATTATTCCAGAGTTAAATAATGTGGTCAGGGGTGAAGCAAGTCAAGCAACACCACAAAAAATGCCTTTTTTCAATCCTTTTTCCACTGGGCCCAATTATTCAAAGGTTGTTAAATGATAACCCAAGGTTAGATTTTAATTCAAGTTTCTTGATCCATTTGTTTGAAAGCCATTTTGGGATCATTTTCTCTATTCTTTTAAAAGCATTCAATAATCAAACTCTAGCCAGAAATAAATATATACTGAATTTTCCTTGTTTAGATCTGAAATCAGATTTCACACTAACCCTGGGTTATCTTAACCCAGCTTTGAAAAACCCTGCCCTGGCATCTAAAATTTCACTTCTTGTAACCATTTCTCAAGTTAAGGCTGGCAAAGGGCAAAGTTGACCTTAGAGACCTGACAATATATACTAAAACTAGGTTTTGGACCAATATGTTTGAGATATGGTTTCAGTAACACACATAACTTTATCCATCATAAAATTCTTAACTGTAGACATTAATTTCCACAGTGCTGGAGCACACTGATTCATGGAACACAGTATACATTGTTGGCAACACCCTCAGTGTTGTCCCTTTTATAAGTATGGCAGGTAGATAAAAATTTTCAATTAGCAGATCAGTCTTTTTACCTGGTGAATTTTCAAGCATTCCAAGCAATTAAAGCTAGTAATAAGTGGTACAGTATTACAGTTGTAAATTCTGCAGATTACTGCCTGAAAAGGAAACCTGGACACCCTGTGAGTCCATCTATATTTGAATACAGAATCTTTTCTGTAGCTATATGTTGAACAACATACTTCTACATGATAACATATATTTTAATAATCTTTGATAAAAATCAGAGACATTTAAGCATTCTATAGATGCACTTAAGATAAATGACAAGCAACATCATTTGCCATCAGTGTTTAATGAGCAGTGATTTTCTTCACTAATATATCTAATATCAATGGCTGCTTGTTATGGTTGCTATGCTACACTTAAAGAAACAAGACTTGACAAGCTTTTGATACGGACCACAAAAATGACAATATCAAAAACACTTCTCCAATATGCCCAACATACACGTACCTTTAAAATTTTTTACATTTTTAGTCCATGATCAAAAGAAATTCCAACTGAAAGTGTATAGAATTAAAATTTTGGAAGGACATTCACAACTTGATCATATAAATTTCTTAACTTCCATGTTGAAAACATTTATCAAATTGGTCCAAATTTTCCTAGGCATACAACTGTGAGTCAATACAATTCATGCAGACACTATATCAACCCTGGTGGTCACATTATAAGCATAAATGGTCTTCTAGCCTACTCCAATAAATTTCAGGAAAACAGACTTAACTACTTTCTTGTTTAAGTTGTTTGACAGAGAAACACTACAAACTTAATTTGCTATCAAGTGTAAGATACTAAGGAGTCTACAAACTCTAAAAATTTTTAAGGATAATAAGGTGTTCTACATCTCAGCTTTGTAGGTGAAGTACAGTACAATGCAATCTGAATGTGAGCCTGCACAAAGAAAGTAATCAACTAAGCCCAAGAATATGTTAATAAGTAACTATGATAATTTATGACATTAAGTCCCAATTCAAAAAGAATCAGTGGACCAAGAAATGAGGTAACAAAGGCACCATTGAAAATTTAGATCAACTGAGCAAGTTTTAGATTATCACCAAAGTACAAAAATTTTTTAAAGCTCAAGGTTGCCCAAGGAAATCTGAAGAAAACTGAATGGTGAAAAACTTGTTTTAAAACAAAACCTGAGACAGGTGCCAGCACATCCTGGTTTTATTCATACAAAAAAACACTACACCAGACAAAGACAAGCCCAAGAATAATTAACGCTGCAAGAATAACCAATAAATTCTAGATTAGAACACTAAAAATGATGAGAAAGCTACTTAAAGCAAAACCTCTAACAAATTTGAGTCAAAAATAATGGTGACATGTAATTGACAAAAGAACCCGAGTCACATCAAGCACAGTGACTCAAAATTTATTGTTTCTAGTTTGACTAAAAAGTTCACTTTCCTTGTCTCTGGTCTATGGATTTCTATAAGCTGTGTGGAAGAGGGTTATAAAATTACTACTAGAAAAAATAAATCTTATTTGTTTATCAAATCCATTGTATTTGTGTATGTTTTTGAAATTGAAAACCAAAGTAATTCTCCCATTGTGAAAAGGCATTTTACTGAAGATTTCTTTAACCTGCAACATGCAATAATCTTTCCCTTTCATGTCTATGAAATGCCATTAACTTCATCTTGCAATCATAGATCCTATTTGTCCAGTTTCAAGACATCAGCGTTCACTCCACAGAAAAATTTACGACTTAAAATTCGCAAAACATTAGTTTAGAACCAAATGAAAGAACATAGTGTGCACTGAGTCTCATTTGAAAGGAAATGGATTAACCCAAACAAACTTTTGCCTTCAAGAAACACAGGAATCCATAAAGCCCTTACTGATAAATTAGGATTGTTTTTGCGTGGACAAAATGTACACCCAAGGTACACTGTGTTCGGAAACAATGATTCCCATGACATAACACTTAACAACAAAGATCTAGACTCATAAAATGAAAATGCCATGGTGCCCACTTGAAGCACATTGTAGCCACAGACATCTGTGTATTGGTGAGGTCACAGATCCTATGAACAAGTTATATCTGCTTCTCAAGGCAAAGCGAAATTAACTCGAAATCTATCTTTGTGATGATGTAGATCGAGAAGTGACCCTCCATGGCCATCTAAAATCTTTCCAAACGAAGGAAAAAAAAGAAATTAATATGTTCTCTGATTCATTGAGAGGAAGTAGCAACTGTTCTGTATTTCGCAAGGCAAATCAAGACGACAATCGGAGAGCTGAACGGAAAAAGTCAACATCACGAAGAAGCAGCTATATTTCCTTGTTCTTCAAATCCTTGTACAATTTACCATAAAAATCACCACGTTAATACGACGACAGTACTACTAAAGCCGCTTCGCTTTCTTTTGAGACAAAGCGACAGCTCTTTCGGCTTAGTTCAAGCTCGCGTTCGCCTGCTCGGTAACCTTATAGGCGAATCGAAATATTTCAATATCTAGCATTCTTGTTCAATTTGCTAGCGCTTCTGCGATAATCCTTAGCATAGCAAACCCTTTGATGATCACTTCGGACCGTTCGAAACGATATTGAGATAAGAAAATGGCGGACAAGTGATTAGACAACCGCGCAAGTCGCTGCTTAGGATTAAATATTTCATTCGCAAAAAACTTTTTAACTCCTACCGCTATATTTCACTCACCGTGGCAGAATACATTTGGAAGTCTCCCAAATAAACATGATGTGCTTCCCATCTTCTTAGAAATTTGGAACTTAACACTTTGCTGATTAAAGTTCGGCTATGGTTTAGGCGACAAACTTGAATGTCTCCTTCGTGGATCAGTTTGAATTTTGGTCCTGCTCCCGTACTACATCTTTGAGGACGTTGCGGTCGCTGTTGTCCTCCATTCGCTATCGCCACAGCCATGGCCGTGTGGATTGCCAAGGCGTCCGACAGTAAACTCACAGACTGGAAGATATAAAAACACCAAAATATTTCACCTAAAGGAACAGTTGTTACTCCATAGATCGAGTGTAAACATATCTAGTCCAATTTGCAAGCAGTCGAAGAAACTGGCCTTTTAGCCCGAATGACGTCACATGCAACGAATGATTGACGTCGAATAAGAAATTTCCAGTTGAGGCGACTTATTATCTCTAAGCTAAACTCTTCTAACCAGCTTGGACTGAAAGTCTCGTTAAAACCAGATCATAAGTAAGCTGAAAAGCTTTTCTGTAATTTTGCAGGAATTTCAGCAAACAAGCGAGTAGTGCAAAAGCTATTCTGAAATTGCCTGAACATCGAGAGGGAAAAGGAAAAAGTGTGATCGCATAGAAATAAACTCATTTGAATATTTTGTTTCCTTTGACAATTGAAAGACAAAGATGGATCATACGAATTTGGCAGACGAGCTGCGAGGGCTTTTCATAGCAATAAAAATGAATTTAAATTGCTTTTGTCTTGCCACGAATGACCCAAACAGGAGCAATGTATATGTGTGTTACTCACTTATTCTGCGATTCTTGAAAATCGTTGAAACGAGATGAGTTGAGGGAAAATATTGCGTTGAAAACATTCAACAGTTTACGGAGAAAGGACTTAAAGTAATCTCGGATGTATCAGTACTTTAATTCAACCGCTTTTTATCCTTTCTTTTCTTGTTACGAGCATAATAGAATAGAGAAAAGTCGAGTACCAAACGAGAAAAGCCACGAAAAAAGAATAATAAATATGGATCTATTGAAATCGTAAAAAACGTTTCGAATTTCTCTTCACACGACAACGTTTCAATCTTTCTTTGCACAAATAACGATAAATGAAACTGACAGTTTTCAATGAAATCGCAAGTCTTTATTTACAGCATACGCGGCGTGTTTCCAAACAAGAAATAGAACAGTTCTAAACCAATAATATCGAAATCATAGTAAAGCGAGTGAAGGCTTTGACCAGGAGTACAAACAGCTGCCAAGAAGCAGCTCACATTAAAATGCCTTTCTATCCTTTATAATTTGCATATAAGTTCCTTGGAGAACAGATGTCACCTTTAGAGTTTTTTTCCTATGAACTAATACGCTTACAGTTGAATTTCTTCAATACATAAAGCAGTTTCCCACCCAAGTTATTTTCTTTGCATTTGCGATCAAAATATGAAAACTATTGTTGTTGCGATCAGCAAAAGCAGGGTTGATGTCATGCAACGTTACTTGAGAGAATGCACGATTCAGCTTCATGTTCCGGTTACAAAGTGATAACAGATTTATCAATCTGCAGTCGTGTTAAAAACCGTACACATTAAACTTTGATCCTTGAAAAATGATAAACTTCAGTTCGATCATTTACACCGAACCGGTTAGTGATATACTTGACTAACAAATCTAGATGAAAACCGAAACTTTCATAATTAGGCATCCTCCTCGAAAAAAAACATTGGTCTCATATTGCCCAGTATACACGCTAAATGTGAAATTTCAAATCTAAGGAACGACAATTCCAGCGAGGACTTACATTCAGGATATCTTTAATTTCGAAGATATTCTAAACCGTAGAGAGCAAACTTTGTTTCTCGACAAACAAACACCCAAAAGCTTTGTGTAAATAGATTAACTTTGTGGCTTCTGACGGGGAAATTATAATCGTGCTCTAGCTCGAGGGCTATCTAGGGGATACAAATCGTAACGATCAAAACGGTTTCAAAGAAAAATTCCAGGAAGTAAATTAACTTCAATGGAATAGCATTCAAAGATTTTAGACTAAACAGTTATCTTGATCTGAAGGCAAAGGCTTGGTTTTGGCACACAAAAGCGCCTGAACGAGGTGTCTTTAATTATCACACTTGTGCCCCTGTGAGGTTAATTCTGAAACTAACATCGTGAAAATGAAAAAGGAAAATGCCCTCGAGGTATATGATTTTCTTAAGACGCCCACGACAGGGTGTCGAAAATTCAAATTCAGGTTTTGTGCCTGCTTCAGTCATTGATTATCGATCCAACAGGGAAAGTTCAACAAATCAGATTGGACACGAATTTGTTGCGCAAAAGTTTTTCGCAAACAACGCATTGCGAATCGAGTTGACTTCAACTGCAGTTTCCGTAATTTGATGTCAGTTTTCGGCGGATCCCTATGTTAAAAATTTTAGTCTTTTTCCAGCTCGCCATAGCTCAGCTTTGAATTGAAATAAAAGAAATAAGATTAAACATTGTGATCAGAGAGCAACTCAATTCGTAACTTATTTTCCCTGTTTTTCAAAAACCTCGAAAAATACATTTTTTTCACCGCAGTGAGTGTTAGAAATTTAATTGCTTGTACTTCAAGGCAAGAGCCTGCGGTGCTGCCTGGGATACTATTCAGGGCATCAACCTGACAAAGAATACAACTGAGAGAGGAACAGGCCGTGTTTTAAAAGGACTGGCTTTCAGAGCGACATGAACAGATGTACAAAGCAACACATATCGACTTGGCAAGCTGTGGGTCATTTCAGATAGTACAATGCTTTTTGTAACGATTTTACAAGGAAAATTGAGGCCGTAGGGTTGACACTTCAATCCACTTACACAAGTTGGATATCAATTCTACTTGCTTCGGAGAAAACAAAAAAATCAGAAACTATTTTTTAAAACGCGGTTTGCCTTATACAAAGGTTAGAAAGTTATGATGACTTGGTACTTTGATTTATCTCTTGTTTATCTTTTATAAAAGCGTGTATCAATGTTAACTTCTTGTGGGATTTCACCTTAGACAAAGAAAAGACTGAAAAAGGAATTCAAAATTTCAGGATTAGCAAGGGTTAACGTGGTTGTAGCCACGCCAGGAGCGTACCTAGGAATTTTTGAAAGAGGGAGAAGGGGTCACGGTTACAAATTTCCTCTTGCGTTATGTGGAGAGGCCTACAACGCTGCACTAACTTGTGTATCAGCAGGCTCGTAATCTCGTGGACAGAAAATTAAATTAAAAGGGATTTCTGACGTGAAGATTCTTCTGGTAGGATCTTTTTCACAGAACTGATGTATGAGGTTCATGCGGCCCTTTGCGCCTAGGTACTCCAAGAATTTCCACCCCCGTGCCCACTTCCCTGGTGTTGCGAACAAACCTACGCTCTGATAAATGGGGGAGGAGAGGCTGAAATCATTTCGCTGAAATGTAATCGATTTTCTTTTTCTGGCTAACGGTATGCACCGCCGGGATATGTAGTCCGCGAATAAACGACGCATTCTTTTAATTTAGTACCGACATCTTTTCGAAGATGACTTCTGCTATTAACTTCCATTTGTGGAATTTAATCGATTAGACATTCTTCGACCTGAAGACTAAAACCCTCGAGATTAAAGATAACATGAGACTGACTCTCCTAAAAACAACTCTTAAACATCTCTTGCCCACACATAATCTAGAACGTTGCTATTTCTGAAAAGTCTAGGACAGAAATTATCAATTTTAAGGCATCGGTAGTAACTTAGTAATTAACGATTAGGGTAACATACAGGCGAGCTCATAATGCATCTCTAATCATCTTGAAAAAAACGAGGGATTAATTCAGAAATCTAATCATGTGGGGATTAATGGTGCATTCACCATGAATACGTAAGTGGCCAAAAGAGGATCGAAATAATCAGATGGCAAGCATCAAAAGCATGGTGTGTGATTAAATAGGGCTTCAGTTAGACGAAATGAAGATTCCTGATCGATAGGTCATATGGTTGGAAGGGAAGCTGAGTTTGAGAGGAAGAACGCTATTTGACACAAATATAACAGTAATTGCTACTATCTGTAATGCTTAAGCAGGCTGACGTGAATCAGCAAAGTGCTGAAATAAATGAAGAAGACACTTATTTTGGGTCAGTTCTCATTGGTCAAAATTTCAGTTTTTAACTGAACCCAATTACTTTTCTTTATTCCTTCACTCGTCTAGACGACGTTCTCACTCACGTTATCTTTGTTCACAAATAGTACTAGTGCCTTCCTAAAACAAAGATGTATTTCCGTTAGTTCTGCAGTTGTAATTACTGAGTTGTATTAGAACCTTGCGGGTCTCAATTCTTTCGCATTTTGCATTAAGTCCTTGATGGTTCATTTCAAATCCATACAGGAAAAGATTCCCACGAGAAAGAAAGAAAGAAAGGAAGGAAAAAAAAAAGTTTTAACCACGAAAAAAAAAAAAAAAAAAAAAAAAAAAAAAAAAAAAAAAAAAGGCCGTAAACACCAAAGGAGTGTGCAGGGGAAATACATGCTTTCTGTCTGACTTCGTTTAAGTTTCAATTCTTTTGAGAACTACGGTACAGCTAGAGTTTATCGTATTTTGAAGGCTAGAAAAAGTTCCAATTTTTACCTTTCTTTCCCTGTAAATGTTTTCTGCGTGATCCGAACTGGAATCCCAAAAATGAGTTCTCCGAGGAAACTTTTGGTCATCTTAAAGAACAAGAATTTCTTTCCACTAACACAAAACATCAGCAATCGGCTTAAAGAAACTTCAGGGATATTCTCATGCTACACGGCACTCTAAAAAGTTCATTCCTGCGTCACGTTTTTTGCTCAAAGGGGGCGCAGCCTTCCATTAAAAAGCCAATATGCTCAAGAAAACAACTGATAACCACGTCATATTACAAGTTAAAATCAGAGAATGAAAATATTGCATATGAAAGAGTACTTGTGAAAAAAGCAATTAAATATCATTTGACTTGTCAGACACGAGCCACGTGGCTCACTAAAACCAAGGGATTATAAATCTCTCCCTTAAACCTTAATTGTTAGAATGGCTCTTAGGCTAAAACTCTCGTTGCCATTATGACATCAAATCAGCTATTTATTTCAATCATCTTCCTTAATTTTTAATTCTTTACTAGGTTACAAAAAACTTCTGATAATAACCGTTGGAAATTTGTTTTTGTTTTTATTTCGGGATTTCTTGTTTCGTTGTTTTTCAGAGTTTATCGACAACTTCAGACAGATATTCCTAAGCTATCTTATAAATGATC